TGACGGAAAATTCCCCTTCAAGGCAAATAGTTGCATTACCAGTTGAGTTTCCCAGATGAAAGTAACATAAAGAGTGCGGTTGAAAGTAAAACTTGTATCACGAGACAGTTGACATCTCCCAAACATCTATATATGTCGCTAGAATAACGCCTTGGCTCGATGTCTCGGTCAAGCGTTGTGCTACAACTTTTTCACCGAGAAAAAAGGTGTTTTCCAACATATTGACCATTCTTCATGGGTTGTTTTCCCGCCGTCTAATCGAGTTCCACGCATGGTATGTGGAGATGGGCACGAGAGACAACAGGGAATCCCTTTGTACAATTTCCCAGGCATGATTTAAGGCTTGCGCAGTGTCCTCCAATCGTCAATTCCCTAGACCTTCACAATTTCACCACTTCGAATGAATAAAACTTACGACCGACTTCATTAATCGTTCATTTTGTGTATCAGTATATGTATGGGCTTTGAAGCTTTCTCTGATATTGCGATGAAATATTCCACGACTAGTGAAAATATTATTTCCATTGAAAATAATCACTTGCTTCATTCAAGTAGGATTCAATAATTTTTCCGGACCTCACAAATAAGTATACGAATTCGCTCCTTCAATAAAATTTCCTTTTCAGTCACCTCCTTCCACAGAGTACTAAAAATTCGCTTCTCAAGATTTTACGAATCATAAAAGTAATAAGAGAAATTGTTCGGACGATATCAAGGATCATTAAAGCGATGGAGTTATTCTTCGACATTGATTGTGAGATCATGAATCGATTGATATTTCACTGGGGAAGATGTACCGATGTCTGATACAGCGCGAGGGGAATCCCCTTTCCAATTTCCAATTTCCCACGTTTTTGAGGCAACCGGTGATCCGTGAACTGATTTGACTTTCACAATTTCCATTGATTCGTGAAGGAGAGGGAGAAGGAGGATTCGGTGTTCACGGGATATTTTTCATCGATCCCCAGCGTTTACTGGCCCCGGTTATGTCGCGGGATGATATGCCACTTCTTCAATGTACTTTTTCCTCGTGTATTAGACACACTAGATGTCCTTCAGGAATGAAAGTACCCCGGTAAACGTGACCTCACGTTGCACTGTCGTGAGTAATGCACGAGAGAGTCACTCTGGAATAAGATCGAAGCGGTTTATACCCTGTACACCTCATTCCTTGCATCAACGGGTTTTCCACCAGAAAAATTCCCACATTCATCATTCCAGAATTTTATTTATTGAGGTTGAATGGTTGTAAATTAAAGTGCCCTATCTCAATGTCTACTGATAGTCAGATATATTGAGTCCACTCAATCCGCTGTTTTTATCGCCATCGAAGATATTAAGTTCCTCGATTGTCACTCATTAAATTCACATCATAGATCACAAAAAATGTTGAAATATTTCTGTGATTTCTCCAAAGATACGTTATTCAATACAAATTGATCGATCGTAAAAATTATAATCGCGTCGTAAATAAGTTGAATTATTTGCAATAACGTTTAATTGTTAAGGCAGTGTAAAAATACTCTTTCGTTATTGAGGTAAATGCTTTGAGCGCGTAGTGGTGGTGGTTGAACGTAAGAATAACGAAATGTTTATTGTTTTTTGTTGTTGCAGAATCAGCATTATTCGCTAAACTCTTCTTCGGCTGACGTTGTGATTGGAAAAGTGGTTGGGGGCACGTGGAACCCGGTTTACAACGCCGGGGATAGAAAATATGCGCTTATTGCGAGATCGGTTTTGACATTTGTGAATTAAATATTTCATTCCTGTAAATATTTGAGTGTTTACGAGTGAAGAGGAGAAGGAGTCGGAGAGTGAGAGTCATGGAGACCGAGGAGCTAACCCGACTCGTCGATGGAATATACAAGGTGAGTTCAATATTTTATAATAATTAAATGAATTCTCTGAATACTTGTTAACTCATTGATGAATAAAATCAATAAGTTCTTAAGCATTCCGATGCCATAAGGAAATTAAGTAATCGATTACCCGAGAGTGGATCTCAACGATTACACAATCTTTCATAATCGTCAGAATAAATATTACCGCAAGGTGATTCACACGCGATCATCATGATTGGTAAATTCTCCAAGGATGTGACTCTGTTTACCTACAATGATCTTTCCATTAATGAATGAGAGGCGCGGAATAATAATAGTCTGACATTTTAATAGGATTTTTATGAATTTATGGCATTATAGTGGAATTCACTTCTTTCAACTAGCTATAAACCGTTTATTTTCTATTTAAGTTTCGTCATAGGGAAAAAAACTTCTAGTTGATAATTATGTATTGCATGTGGAAAAGAGTATTTAAGTGAGAACAGATTCAACCGTGGAAGTAACCAATTTAATGAAGGAAATTTACCCATTCCCACGGTTTTGAAATTGTTTTATGAGCATTAGAGTTGTCCCCTTAAATTTTGAGAGTGCCTCAAAGTTAGGCAGCAATTCTTAAAATTAGTAAAGGAGTTACAGAAAAAAGAATCCTCTCTCTGTCACTTTTTTTTAGTCACATGCGCCATTAATATAGAAAAGTTCGGGTATTCGTACTCCAGGCTAATCCTAGGTAGTTCTTCGATCATTTTCATAACGAAACCCTTAACCGATTTTTGATATGCCTTCGAGCTAATTCACCACCGGCATAAATCCAAGGAGACGTAAATTCTCGGTGTATACGCACATTACCGAAACAACGAGCCGCCTAGTTTTGCACATGATTGCGTTGTACACAGTCTGGGGAGAAGAGCAATATCTTGATAATTAGGTGTCGCCTAGTGCAATTAGAGATGCACGAAAGAGGGAGGAGAGATGATCACACGAGTGTACAGGATAATCTTATTAGTTAAGCAGTGTTCACCTTTAAAATTTTGCGTTAGATCGGTGGGTGTAGCGGAAGCCGCGCCGTCAGCCCTTGCCAACAGACACGGGTTGTTCCCTCTTTCCTTCGTTAAATCTCTCTCTCACTCTAAGTAATTCACTGGATAGCTAATGTCACTTTCTCGTTTCCTTGACGTTAATAATACGTTCGACTAATTCATCCTTCGTCTAGCATTGTCGTTTTTTTTTTCATTTTCATGTCCCTTTTCAGTCCGCGTTGCAACAAACTACGCAATCATCGCTGATGGATTCTTTGTTTAGTTCTGAAACTGTCAAAAAAGTCGTTATAAAAGTAATTCCATCGAATAAAACTGGGAAATGAGAATTGAAATGAGAATTGAACTGATGCATTTATCAGGGAGAATCTGACAGCTTGTTTTTTTTTTCCCTTCCCTTTTTACAAATGGGAAAGTATACGAAGAATTTTTCACAGTCTGGTAGACACGCCTGATATTCTTCCCCAACTGCATCCCTTGGCTCAGCATCTCTCGTGTTTATTTACCAATTTTTCATGTTACCTCGAAGAAGATATTTTCGATGTTGGAATTTAT